GCATCGCTATACTATATTACACGCGAGTATGAATAATATTGTTTGAGCGAAAAGACAATTCACGTCATGTTATTCTTAGGAAAAGGCAAAACCGTATCCAATCAATTAGAGTATTTTGTCCTAGGTTTTTAAGCAAAGTGAATAAAAATGGTGCCAGGCTTGAAGCGATTGGAAATGATGCAGTTAAGGCTATAGCTTACTACTTTTTTCGCTTTATAAGTAGGCTCTCAAGACGCATTTATCATATTTCATTTAGGGTGATAAGCGGCGCAGGGGTTAATGTGTTGAGATCACATGGTTCGAGTCCCGCTAGGATGTTGATAAGACCTATGCGGGCTCGAAACTGTTGTTCACTCTGGATGGGAATAACTTTTGCGAGAGCAAGCTATGTGAAATTGAGTGGAAACGTCATGTTTATTCATATGCTGATGAGAATATTCCACTATCAATCGTTGTATCACTTTAAACGAAAAAGGATGAGTACATTTCATCTATAGTTTACTACACCTTAACAACCATGCCAGCAGCGCTGCCAACGGAATAACAGCTATTATTCACAAGCGTAATCCACATTTAGCTCCAGTCGCACGACAGAGTCATACACATTTGCTCACCTCCTGAGCTGGCACGAAGACGTTATGCCTCAGAAGTGCGGAGGACACCGAGTGAACATGTGAAGTGATTCCGGTCTGTTCGCCTCAGTGGGTCTCGCTACACACTTGGCACACTTGACGGATTTCCCGCGGCGTCTTCAAGGCGCCGTCCGTGACTGTCGGTTCGGCAACGGTGCGACGGCCTGAGCAGGCCCGGCGGCCCATCTGCAAAACTGTATCGGCCGGACACGGAAGATGAGGCCGGCTCACTCATGTGGCTCCGCAGGCAGGTGGGGCGGGGGGTGCCGATCGGGTCTCGGCTCTTCGTCGCCTGGACACGAGTTCAACCAGCAGACAGCAACGGCAGGTGCAGCTTTGTCCCGGCGACTAAGTCTGCAAACGTCCAGCCTCGCCCAGTTCAAGGCTGTAGAGCTGCGCTTTTGCGTGGATCGTGAGGCAGGTGGTGGGCAAGCCGGTGAGCCAGACAAGGGTAGGCAAATGGAGTTGGGCAATTCGGTCAGCCACCAATCAAAAAGCGATGCCAAAGCGGATATTTGCCGCTATGCCCCTCGACTAATGGGCACTTGGCAACACGTGAAAAGGCCATGTCTTTCAGGCCGTCCGTTGCCCATGACAGGACATCCGGAAACTGCAGGCCTTGCTAACGGCTGTCGTAGAAGATAGTTCCTGCTAACGTAGTTACACTTATCGATTATGTTGGCCCACCCACACTTCACATAATTCCGGGTTGATTCGCGAAGAACCAAAGCAAATCGTCATGGTTGTCTGAAGCATGACCCGTCTGCGAAACTTTATATACACCTTTACGTATCCTTCTCGACCAATCCTCTCTATCTCTTTCCCCCAACTATGCACACACGACTTCCCCCCCACCCCCTCACCTCTGAGTGCCATCCCTGCTCAGAGGGTGCGGTGTTGACCGGTTGTGAGACAGGCGATGATCTTGTAGGCATGTGCATGCCAAGCCAACGTGTGATTATTTAACTCGAGCTGATTGGGTTTCCAGCTGGCGGCTCTACTCTTTTAAGCATACTCAATAGCGGCAGTGGCCTCAACCCATGACAGCAGAAAGCAACGAAATGGGACACTTCGCGGCAGAACCATTCGACGCATGCTGAGAAGAGGACACATTTGGCACATTTAGACGTGAGTGTCTCATATACGAAGAAAAGTTGGGTTTCGAGGAATCTCTTGTTTCATAATTGTTGAGCTTACTTCCATTTCG